CTGCATTCGGCAAACACACAATTAAAAATTGTTTTATTATGGCCGGATTATTATGGCCGACACAATATGGCGGTGGCACGCTAGTACAATAAAGTGTCAAATGATACGTCATTTGCATTGGACAGTACACTGCGTTGTATTTCGGAACATACCCAATATCTTGGTTGAGTGACGTTTAACTGTCATTCAACTGGACTGAAGTCGCGTCACAACGTTAACCAATCACGGCGCCCCATTCAATGCTATGTGTCCGCACAACAGAGTCCACTAAGTACTGTTCTCAGTTCACAGACAGACAGACACTTAGCTTGCTACATATTTATTTATCTATGACTAAGTATTGTTTATGAAATGAACGGCCTGCCATGACGTATTGAACGCAGTGAGAAATATCTTACTTAGCATAGTGTTGCTGCCATACTTATGTAAGTATCGTTCGTGAATACGGGTGTAATACCCTGTCAAGTTTGTGCACTTATAAATTTGGCGCCATTTTTTTTCTTACCTTTTCTTTGCGTTTGATGCAAATTACGACGTGCAAAGTGTTAGAAATTAGTTTATTCGTTGTGTAAATAACAATAATAGTGAATAGTTCAGTGTATTTAGTGTAGGTATATAAAAACTGATCTCAGCCATTATGGTAATATATGACAATATAAGTAATAATAAGCGACTAAATATCAAATCGTGTATAATCACATCATTACAAAACGTTCCAAATACCTATTCTGTTACCTATCCGACGTGACAAAGTCACAGTGATTTTTCACCGTAAAATTTTTATAACTGGAACCGCAGTCACGGTAATTGACTTATAACGACTTTGCCCATGTCTGTTAGCTAGGCATATGGCTGTGGCCATATGTTAGCTTGCTACATATTTATTTATCTATGCCATATGTGCAGTGGCAACGCTTTGCGCGGTTATTACTAATCTAGCGTAATATATAAATGAATGACAGCGACCCGACACCCGAACTACTTCAAAACCCACGCTGAATCTCTCGAAAGGCAAACAAGGCGTAAAAATAGATTATTTCATCCCAAATGCAGCTCTAGATTTTATGCAAACAGTGCTCTTATAATGGCTATTAAAATATATAATAAATTGCGCAATAACTTAAATGCCTTTGAATAAATTCAAAATTGAGATTAATAAATGGCTTCTTGACAAGTGTTATTATAGTGTTAAGGAATATTTTAATGCAAAATATTTTATGTATTATATAATTTATTTAATCTTTTGACATATATGTACAATTAAATTTGTTATTTTAACCCTGGTAGAATATATGAGACTTTCTTTACTATGTATTACCTAAACATTTTATTCTGCAAATAAAGATTTTGACTTTGATCTCTAGCAGGTATTTCTTCTACCTAGAACACTCATTGAGGAGGCTTTTTATTCCCGTCAGATTAGTCTATGGTTGAGGCTCACAAAAAATGTACTTCGTCTATATTTTTCACGTGCCAAAATTCAAGAATATATAATATATTTTTTGGTAGTTCTTTGTAAATAATCTGATTATTTTCTGCATTGGGCATTATTCGCTTGTTAATATTACTCGATTTAAATTGTGAATACTTTTTAATATAAGCAAAAACAAACTGGTACAAAAAGTTGGTGAGAGTAATTTCATAGAAAAATAAAATGTGTCCATGCGTAGTACATTTTCTTTTTCTTCATTACTTCGTCGTTTGAATAAAGTATCGTGATTTCTTAATGTTATGCTAAATGTAATTGCATAAAACTACTGTTCTAATAATAAGTGTAATAAAACTAGTAAAAAAATAATTAAAAAACGACTGAATGAACAAATGTGTTCCATCTGATTCACGTGTGTTACATAGCAGCTTTTTTGGTAGAAGCAATAGTAACACGTCATCTATTTTTTTCACAATGGCAACACTATAACTTTCAATATGAAACGTCAGTGTTTTGTCAGACATCATGGTTTACGGGAGCTGCTACATATTTATTTATCGTGTTGGGCAGTAGGCAGTACTTGGTGTGTGTTATTTTTCGTCATTGGATTTTAGAGACTTTTGGAAATAATTTTGCAAGGTAAGTAATTACATTAAGTTGTTTTGTAATATATATAGTTGAAAGAGACATTAAATATTCCTAAATAATGCAGTTTATTACGGATTTGCTTTGCAAGTAAAGATGCTACCTGAATTTTAGGTTATGTTCTTCACGAGTGTTTGTTCACGTACATATGTTGCGTGTGTTACAAAGTTGTGTGACGTAACACACGTGAAAAGTATAAAGCTTAGTTCACATTGCAATACTTAGGTATAAAAAAAGCTAAATATTTATGTTTTGTGTCAAAAAAGGAGGAGGTTCTCAATTCAACTGATATTTTTTTTTGTATGTATGTTACGCGATTCTTCAGATTCTGTAGACCGATTTCAAAAATACTTTTTGGTGAATAGAGGATGCCTTCAGGCTGGTCCCATATAAATTTGTTGTTTAAAGTAGGCTATTTTTGGGTTTTTAAACCAGAAAAAAAGTTTAATATACAACAAAAAGTAAAATGTAACTGCATTCATGGTTTTTATTTTTTATGTTGATTTTACAGATGCCTCTAACACCTAAAGAAAGGCAGAAACTTTATCGAGAACAGCTGAAAGAAGTAAATCCTGAAAAATTTAAATTGCAGCAAAAACAAAATGCAGAAAGAACAAAAAGAAATAGAAAAAGAATAGCAGAATATCCTCATCTGATCAAGAAATCATAAGAAAGCAGTGGAAAAGAGAGAAAGAAGAAAAGTAAGAAAGAACCTAAGCCTGAAGTAGTGCCTTTAGAAGAACATGGACAAATTTTAACACAGAAAAGAAATTATAATAGAAGGGTCATTTATAGACTGAAAAATGAAAACACAAAGCTAGAAGAAGAATTAAAAAAATATGAAAAGTTGTTGAAAAAAATTAGGCAATGATTAAACTTGAAATTATTGAGGAGAAAAACCAAATGATTCGTAGTTTTGAAGACAGGTCAAGCCCAATTGCCAAAAAAGATGAAGCCCTTGAACAAATGATTCCCGTTTCGAAAACGTGCGCATACATTGACCAAAATTTACTTAGTATTCGACCTGAAGAAATAGAAAGCGTGAAAAAAGTTTTGCTAGAACATAATGTAATAGTGGACACTATAAAAGACAGCTACAAAAGTAAAAACACTCAAGAAAAACGATTAATTAAAGATGTTTTTACCAAAAGTGATAACATTAATAAATACAGTATGAAAACTAAGATGGCTACCTACTTAGGTCTTAAAGCAAAAATTCGTCACACTAAACAGAAAAATAAAAGCCCATTAATACAGACATAGTTAAGAAACATTTATGAAGGGGATGATGTGAGTAGAGTAGAATGATAGCAGGGGAAAACGAAGTAAAGACACAAAAAAAAAAACAGAGAAAGTATTTGCTTGGCACTCTACATAAATTATATCCGAAATATAGAGAAGAAGGAGGAAAATTATCATTTTCAACTTTCAAAAGGTACTGGGGTGTTATATACCGAAAAAGGTCATCAATCTTTTGCAAGTTTAAGTCCAAACAAAGACCACGGACCAGATGCCATTTGGGCACATCTCTTATCTGTGCTTAAATTGGTCAAGGAGAAATTACCCAAAGTAGACGGGATTCATTTTTATTCAGATGGCCCAACTGTACAATACCGACAGAAGAAAAACTTTTATTATTTCGCAAAACTGACGAAAGAGTTGGGTTTTCCGTTTTCCACGTGGAACTTTTACGAGGCGTCACACGGTAAAGGAGCCGCTGATGGTGTAGGAGGAGCCATTAAAAGAAAATTAGACTCAATTGTCGCTTATGGTTCAAATGTTCCTGACGCTAAAACAGCTTATGAATTTTTACAAGTGTCTGAAACCAAAATACAGCTTTTCTTTATACCTGAAGATGCCACGACACAATGAATCAGTAGAACTCCATTCAATTTAAAACAAATAAACCTCAAAACAGACATTGCTAGCAAAAGTTTGAAAGAAAGTTCTCATGACAGAATGAAGAAATGTTCAAAGAAAAGAAAAATAAAAGACATACACCTATAAACAAATAAGAAACTTAAAACGGAAGATGAGAGTAGTGCAGACGAAGATATGACGGTTTCTGTGCATGATACTTCTGATGAAGAGTATCACATTACGATGATATCTTATCAGATGATGATTATCTGGATCATATGGATTATCAATTGAAAGAACAGAAGAACGTTACAAATTTAAGAAAAATATCAGACACAAGTAAAATAGAGAGAGAAAAATATAGAACAATCAAGCCATGAAGATAAAAAAATACAAAATAAAAGATGAAGACACTGTAACTGAAGATTTAATAGCTAAGCAGGTTAAAATAACACAAAACGCCAACCAAAAAAATACTTTTTAGGTGATCCTAGCGATAAGGTTTATTTTGAGTAGAATATTTACAAGTAGGTAGATATAACATATATATTTTTTTTTATATATATATATATATATATATATATATATATATATATAATATAAATATTCAAATAATGCCAAAATAATACGATATTGTAATTTTAAGTACAAATTTTGATCTCTTTGTTTTTTAAGTTGTTTTATTAAATAAATAATTCTATCTATAATCGTATTTTATTTGAAATTCAATTTTTTTTTTGCTTTATGTGCATCAAGCTTAACAACATTTCCAGTGTGTTACACAATTACCGTGTGTTATCGTGTGTTACAAGTTCTTGTGTGTTATGGTACATTTTCTGTGAGCCTCACTCCTATCATATAATTTATGTGTGATGGATCTGTCAGAACAAAATAATTCTTGTCTGTATAACTGGGATGAAACAGAATCTGGCAAGGGTGCTATTTCAATATTGGATGTGCGTTATAATGCTTCTTGAATACTCAAACAATACCGGCTAATGTGAAGTTAGTAAGACTTTTTTGTGATGACTGTGGAGGCCAAAATAAAAACAGCCATGTGTTGCATATGCTGCTATTTTGGCTTCTAAATAAGTCCCCTACACATGTTAAGGAAATACAACTTTATTTCCCAGTGCAGGGGCATAGCTTCATGCCAGTGGACCATTTATTTGGTAGAATTGAGAAAGATGTGAGAGAAATACCAGTGATTACTACAAGGCAAGAATATTTTGAAATATTTTCTAAACATGACAGAGTTTGCGAGCTTGGTAAAGATTGGTGTCTGTATGATATAAAAGGTTTAGAAACTAATTATAAAAAAACTTGTGGGCCATCCATATGTATTCCATCCATGAAAAAAATTATAATCAAGAAGTGCAAATCTCAGGGCAGACAATTGAACTGCGTAGTAAAAGCTTCACCAAACTATAGATTTGAGTCCGGAAAACAGTTTATATCACTACTGAAAAGGGGCAGATGTCACCCCAGAAATATAGAACAAATTCAGGAAGACCGAGGACTGAGTGCTGCAAAGAAAAATGATGTGACCAGTCTATTAACAAAACAGTTCGGTGCCGATTGGGAGAACCTATCGGCATTAGAATGGTACAAACAAATATTAAGCTGTTCTAGAAACATTGCAGAACAAAATGAAGAAATAGATGATGATGAAGCATGTATTTGTACTGAGATGGATACAGAAGACATAAGAATTTGATTTTTCATTATTGTGTATTTGTCACATATTTTAATTATTAAATAAATAATAAATCCAGAACATAAAATGTTATTTCCCAATCTTACTTTTTCAAAACATAATATTTCCAAACAATTTGGTACAAATCATGATATTTTCGTCAGATCTGATCAGAACATGATATTTCCATTTTTCTCATGAGAATAGATGAATAATTTGAAATAAAAAATAATAGTAAAGAACATGGTTATTAAGCTTTTACAGCTATTTATTCATTAGAACCTATATTTTTTTAAATTGCACTAAGGCAAAGTAGGTGCCGGTTTTTGACCTTTTGTGAAAAATTAGACATCATGGAATTATCATGTTTTGTTCTGTCACTCCTCAAATAAAAGACAATGACAGTTTATTTTTTATTTTTCTTTCGAGAACCTTGCTTTGGCGCTTGCGGCTTTCCAAACGTCTTGCTTTTATTTGGACCTTTCCCTTTTAGAGGACCCTTACCCTTTTTTTGCGGTAATCCCTTTCCTTTTTGCATACGATTTGCGTCATACCGGAGTCGTTTAGTGGCTGCTTTAGATGTATCAGTTAAATCATTTGCGAAATTGCTCTGTTTCTTTTTATTTTTGGATATAGAGTTTCCTCTAAACTGTGGTCTATCATCGTCGTCCTCAACTGCTCTTATCCTACGCTGTTTTTTCTTGCGCTTGGCCATCCTCGACTGCAGCAATGCGACCTGATCATTTGAAAATATAGGCTTTAAAACACGACAAACAATTACGCCTATTTTTGTTTATTTAAAGGATTGAAGAATTAAATTAGTAGGTACAAAAAGTCATGTGCTAGATGTAAGCGTGTTCTAGGCAATGAAGAGTAAAACTACAGACATGTAAGAAAATAAATTAACAGTTTTTTGTACCTAGAGACCCACAATGATAAAAAGTTTTAATCACATAAAAGAGACATTTGGCATACGACTGGCAAATATATCAATATAATCCCCAGAGCAACCAGTTAGTTCCTAACTTTAACAGTTTTTTTTCTTTTTGTAAACTTACTTATTTGAAAATGTATGTATGTTATTAATTAAGCAGTGGAATTATAAAGTGTTGCTGTAATGATGATGAAAAATTTTAATGGGAAAAAAAAATACTTTCTGTTCACAAAAAAAATTATGATCTTCGTCTATTTTATTGCTCATGATTATAACACATTCGCGTCAGGCAAAATGTAATATAACTTTTGATTAAGACCATATTAAGCAACTTAACTGCAATGAGGACAATTCACTACCCTGTACTGCTCTGTGAGGACAATTCACTACCCTGTACCATTCTGTGGGTGCCGTAAGAGGCGACATAAGGAAATGTGAAGCAGCATCTTCATAATACCAAGCGTGGCAACTTTATGCGACAATTTACAGAGGAGGCCTATGTTCAATATTAAATTCAATATATAGATAATGTCCTATGTCAAATTGTTTATAAGAAGATAAATTACCTTCTCCATCTCCCTTCTCACTCTCTCCTCAGCTGTGTCCTTAGGTGTGTGCTTAGTTTGCTTTTTCTTTTTTTTCTTACTGCCGTCATCGTCGGAATCATTGTCGCGCTTCCGCTTTTTTCCTTTGCCTTTGGGATTTTCTGTTGTATTATAAAATATATCAGTATATAAGAAAAGTAACAGATCTTAAAATTCTCATCATCAAACTACTTCAAAAGATTACTCTAAACTGATTAGAGAAGAGAAGATTATTGATAATTCTCACAGTACCATCTAGCAAAGATCTATGGAAGAGGTGCTATGAACTGATAATTTTGTAAAATCTTTATTATATAATATTACTAGCTTGCAAGGCAGACGTTGTTCTGCTCTTTTCGACGACAATTTGTAATGTCCTATTAAAAATCCTTAATTTAGCAAAAAAAAAAATGTGGTCAAAAAAACTATCCTATCTCTCAAGTTGGACCAAACTGCACACAGTGTGCAAATTTGATTAAAATCGGTTAAGTAGTTTTGCAGTCCATCGCGGACAAACAATGTGTCACGTAATTTATATACAGTGTGTCCGGTCACGGACTAGCGATATTTTAGGTACTTATAATACAGCTATTTTAATATAAAAATACACTACACACTGAGGTCTAATCCCCTCCCCCTCTATTTGGCAGCCATTTTGTTTTTCTCTTGAGATATTCTCTACGCGTTTACGAAAAAAGTCATTCTCTGAAAGTTTTAGTCTTACTGAGATAAAAATTAACTCATTCGGAGGCCAATAATATTGTTAATCGTTTACATTATCAAAATTTTTGTTGACATACTTGTAACTTTGAAGAAAAAAAATTTAACTTCAAATAAATATCAAAAAAATATGCTAATCGGCAAATTATTGTAAATTACTGCAAAAACAACCTGGTTCACCCTTTTTATTTTTATACTAGATCGACAGATTTTGAGTTAAGCTACAATACAACATAAAGTTTACAGCTGTATCTTTATTACTTTAAGAATTATTGTTGTTTGAACATAGCATATACGCAAACACAAAAGGCCTTTGTTAAATGACAACTGTCACTGCCTGCCTAGGAGTAATAGTAATCTGAGATTACTTATGATCTTCGATGAATTAGAGATGATGAATTAGAGATCAGAGAATCAGAATCATCATTTATAAGTAGTATAATTTGAGAGCAGGCAGCACAGAACACTATTACTCCTAGGCAGGCAGTGCCAGTTGTCACTTAACAAAGGCCTTTTGTGTTTGGGCATATGCCATGTTCAAACAACAATAATTCTTAAAGTAATAAACATACAGCTGTAAACTTTATGTTGCATTGTAGCTTAACTCAAAATCTGTCGATCTAGTATAAAAATAAGAAGGGTAAACGGGGTTGTTTTTGCAGTAATTTACAATAATTTGCCGATTATCATATTTTTTTGATATTTATTTGAAGTTAAATTTTTTTTTCTTCAAAGTTACAAGTATGTCAACAAAAATTTTGATAATGTAAACGATAAACAATATTATTGGCCTCCGAATGAGTTAATTTTTATCTCAGTAAGACTAAAACTTTCAGAGATATGACTTTTTTCGTAAACGCGTAGAGAATATCTCAAGAGAAAAACAAAATGGCTGCCAAATAGAGGGGGAGGGGATTAGACCTTCGTGTGTAGTGTATTTTTATATTAAAATAGCTGTATTATAAGTACCTAAAATACCGCTAGTCCGTGACCGGACACACTGTATATATATATATATATATATATATATATTTTATATAATGATAAATGTGTCTGTTGGTAACCGTGTAACTTCTGCATGACTCGACATATTGAGATCATTGTGTGAAAACACATTTCTTTTGTCGAGATAATGGTTCATAGCTATGCTAGGATCCGACAGGTTGTAATCAAGTTACTAACAAATTCTCAAGTTATGGGTCAAAATTACTTATATTCACAATATATTGTCTAAGTGCCAAAAAAAAATTGCAAAATCTGGATCCAATAGGAGCCTCTTTGGTCAAGTTAATAGTCAACGTAGGAAAATGAAGCTAAGACTTGATCGTATTGTGACTTGAAGACAATAACTTAATAATTTTAATAAAATCATATTTAACCTTTTCCTGGATGACGAGTTAATGCAAGCCTCTCTTTTTCTTCTCTTTTTTCTTTTGGAGTCTGGAACCAGTCATGTTGCCGCTTGACTTCTAACTGTGGTCCATTCTCTTTCTTGATGTTACTCTCCAGTTTAGCTGTTTGCTTCTCCATTTTGTTCAGTTGTTTTTCTGCATACTCCTCATCAAGAATAGCAGCTATAAAGATATTTAGGATTATTGTGCTGACTTATATAATAACACCCATTTCTCCATCCATAACAGCCCATAAGAGTAGATTTATTTTACGACGATGTCTTGCCGCACGTGTGGTCGCGAGTCCACGTGAGTGACTCACCTATCTCGGGCTCGAGGCGGGCCAGGCGCGCGCGGTACTTGGCCACGATGTCGGGCGGCACGGCGCGCGACTTGACGGGGCGGCGCGCGCGGCGCACGATCGCCTTCACGAGCGCGCGCTCGCCCTCGCCCGCCAGCGACACGGACACACCAGCGCGCCCTGCACGCGCCGTTCTACCCACCTAGATTCAAAAATTATACCACATTTTGGGTAAGGAAACATCTATCAACTTAGATTTTTTTATAGAATATGAATAACAAACGAGCATACAATGAAAGGGAAATAACTTTATACACGTACGAGGTTGGATTGAAAAGTACTCGGCCTAACACAGATCCATTCAATTCTAAAAATCAAATCTACCCACATTATTTAGTTCAGTTCAGACTAGTTCATTGTGTGAAGTTCGAAACGTGTGCGATAATTAGTTGTGATTTTATAAATTTATTAACAAAGTAATCGGACATAATTTCCGCGAATGGAGCAAATCGAGCAGCGTGCCGTCATTAAGTACCTCCATAAGAAGGGGCTATCATCAAAAGCCATCCATGATGACATGGTCAGTACATTAGGCGATTGTGCTCTGTCATATTCATCCGTCAAAAAATGGATAGCAGAATTTAAGCGTGGTAGAGAGAGTGTGAAAGATGTACCCCGCTCTGGAAGGCCTTCGACGTCAACTACTGACGAAAATATTAAAAAAGTACTTGATTTAATAATGGGAGACCGCAGTTTAAAAATTAGAGAGATAGCCGAGATTATAGGCATCTCTTATGAACGAACTCAAAACATCATTGTCAACGAGTTGGGTTTCCACAAGGTGTCTGCGAGGTGGGTTCCGCGACTGCTTTCGGTTGAACAAAAAAGGACGCGATTGACTATTTCACGCGACTGTTTGGAGTTATTTGAAGCCGATGCAGATGATTTTTTGAATCGTTTTGTTACTATGGACGAAACATGGGTTCATTACTGTACACCGGAAACAAAACAACAATCAAAACAGTGGAGAAGACCTGGTTCACCACCCCCTAAAAAGGCTAAGTCGATTTTGTCGGCAAATAAGGTGATGG